GTGTCTTTTACTTAAAGAGTTTTCAGATAGAATAGTGTCTGGTCTCCATCATCCCTACTTACTCCTTGCCCAATGAAATAGTCCACAGTTATTCCAAAACTGCTCCTATCGAGGTAACTGACAGCTCTTGATTTTTCTTTATATCATTTGGATATGTGTATGATTCCTTCTTTCCTAAACTCTCTTCTCAGAGTCCTTTATCCCAGTCTCTCTACATTCCCCACTCACTTTTCTGGTCACACCTTTTCCAAGTATCCTGTAGGAGGCTGCCTGTAGAAGTATTATATCTTCAATCTTTGTCCATTCTTCCCTTATTTGAAAGATTGTGCAGTTACCGTTACTTGCTCTTTCCCCTTAGACATAATGCTTCTGCTGCATTCATTCATATTCACTCATGAGAAGTTTGCTTTCATCGCTTTACTCTCCATTGAGGTATAACTGACATGTAACATTCGTTTTGGGTGAACAACACAAATACTTGGTATTTTATATATTGTGAAATGACCATCACAATAAGTCTACTTACACTTGTCATACAACTATAAAATTTTCTTTTGTGACTAAGCTTTTGAATTCTGTTTTCTTAGCCACTTTCAGGTATGTAACACAGTATTGTTAACTATAATCACATGTTGTACATAATATCCCCAAAGTTTATTTTAAAACTGGAAGTTTGCACCTTCCATATCACCCATAATCACTCACAACCCTCACACCTTGCCTCTAGTAATCACTAATTTGTTCTCTAATGTTAACTAGGTTTTATGATTCTACATATAAGTGATATCATGTAGTATGTGTCCTTTCTATATGACTTATTTCATTAACATAATGCCCTCAGTCTTCCATATTGCTAAACATGGTTTTAAGATTTTCTTCTTTTAGAAGTGGTGGGAAAGGAACCCTCTTAACACTGCTGGTGGGAATGTAGACTGGTCCAGCCGCTAAGCAAAGCTGTATGGAGGTTCCTTAAAACATTAAAAATAGATCTGCTGGGCCCTCCCTGGTGGCGCAGCGGGTTAAAGCACTGCACTGAGAAACTGAAGCCACTTCCGCATGAGTTCAATCCCCGCCTGCCCCGGAGGCGACCACATGGCGTGGCAGACCTCTCCTGACCCGCCCGCTGCTCCCCTCAGCAGTGTACTTCGTTGATCTGCCTGTTCTGCTCCCCAATCTGTCTCTGGTGAATCTTCTCACCCTCCGCAACTCTGGCCTGTACCCCAGTTCTGTACGAATAAATAAATAAATCTTTAAAAAAAAAATAGATCTGCTATATGATCCAGCTGATTCCACTCCTAGGAATCTACCCAAAGACCACACAACTGCTAAATTCAAAGGAAACCCACATTCCTATATTTATTGCAGCACTAGTTATAATAGCCAAGATAATGGAAGCAACCTCAGTGTTCCCCAACTGATAAATGTGGTATAGACGTGGTATGCAACACACACAATGGAATACTACTCAGCGACCAAAGAAGATAAACTCATGCTATTTGTGACAACATGGGTGGATTTGGAAGGGATTGTACAAAGCAAAGTAAGTCAGAAGGAAAAAGATAAACATTGAAGAGTTTTGCTTAGATGCAGAATATAGAGAAACCAAACCAAGGGTCAAAGGTTTTAAAAGCTGCCCATCGTACAAGGCATCTGGGAGGTAAAAAGATGGGGGATTGATGAAGTGAGGGGGTTGAAGGGCAGGGAGAGGAAAAGCACAAAAAGACTGTTGGTGCTTTGGAGGTGGGAGAACCATGGTGACCACACCTGAAGGGGGAAATCATATGTAGTCCAAAAATTAACAGTGATGCAAAGAAAAAGCTACTTTATTTAAAAATAAGCAAATTTAAAAAAAGTTTTCTTATACTTGAATATTTCATTGAATATATAATATATATTCTATTCTCATTGCATATAAATATAATAATTCACTATGTGTGTAATATATCTGTACTTCAATAAATTACCAATCTAATGAATTAACAGTATATAATGACAAATACATGATGACATTTTCTTATCTATTCATTTATCAGTGGCCACTTGGGTTGTTGCCATAGTTTGGTTATTGTGAATAATGCTGCAGTGACTGTGGGTTGTGTATTTTTTTAAGCTTATGTTTTGTTTGTTTTTTGGATAAATACCCAGAAGTGGTTTGGTGGACCCTACGGCAGTTCTACTTGAATTTTTTTGAGGAACCTCCTCACTGCTGTCCATTCATTGTCCATACATTTCTATCAACAGTGCACACAAACTCCCTTCCCTCCACATATACACCAACACTTGTTATTTCCTGTCAGGTGATTTTATTGAGATTTTTCTTATTTTGGGGGGACATTAATCAGCATGAACTTCCCTCTTAGAACTACTTTGGTTGCGCCCATTCTGGTTTGTTGGATTTCCATTTCCAATTGTCTCAAGATTCCCTTTCTCTTTTGATTTCTTTGACCCATATTTTTTTTTTTTAGATTTATTTGTGCATACAGAACTGGGGTACAGCCCAGAGGTGCAGGGGTGGCGAGCAGATTCACCAGAGACAGAGTGGAAAGCAGAACAGGCCAACTGACGAAGTACACTGCTGAGGGGAGCAACCGGTGAGGTCTACTGCACCATGTGGATCACCTCTGGGGTGGGATCAAACTCATGCTGAAGTGGCTTGAGCTTTTTAGTGCTGTGCTTTAACCTGTTGCACCGCCAGCAAGGGAATGACCCATAATTTCTAGTTTATTAATTTTCCAGTTTTCTTGTTATTTCTAGTTGGAAAAGATGGTTGTCATGATTTCGGCCTTCAATTTATTGAGTCTTGTTTTGTGGCCTAATATAATCCTTTCATACCTTCTGATGACTGTTTCAATTCCCTGACTCATGATCAGTCTGTTCAGATTTTTATTTATTCTGTCACTCAGTGAAAATTTATATGGTTTTGAAAACTCAACTGTTCTTTCTAGATTGTTCAAAATATTACTTGTAGGGCCCTCCCTGGTGGTGCAGTGAGTTAAGGTCACCTCAGCTGCTTCAGTGAAAGTTTGATCCCTGGCCCTGGAGGTGACCCACATGGTGTAGCAGACCTCTCCTGACCCACCTGCTGCTCCCCTCAGCAGTGTACTTCATTGATCTGCCTGTTCTGCTCCCCACTGTCTCTGGTGAACCCTCTCATCACCCTTGCACCTCTGGCTTGTACCTCAGTTCTGAATGAATAAATAATAAATCTTTAAAAAAATATCTGTGACCATATTTTAGCTCTATGTCAAGTTCGGTATTGTGCCAAGGTTTATAGAAGTGAAAGGTGACAAGAAATAAAAACCGGTATTCTAGACCAAAAATAATGTAAAATGAATAGAGATGAAAATATTCATCAGGCTAAGACTGAGAAATTCAGGAATATATTCTCTTAGATATTTATTGTAATCTTCAAAAAATAAAACAAGATTAATCCAAAGAAGAAAAACCACGCTGTACACAGAATTCACATACAAACTTAATACCTAGTAGAGCACATACAGTTTTTACAATTTCAATAAGGAGAGTTAAAACTTCACAATGTGAATATACTTCATAGCTTTAAACTCAGACAAGAGCTCCTGTGGACAGAGTCACAATATTTGCTGTGCAGCTGTAGTTTTCAACTAAATGTCACGACCACTATAGAAAGCATTAAGCTGTTAATATTTTCTCAAGAGCACAGTGTACTTACTGAGAAGAGTCAAAAGCATCTGGTTACAAAGGAATGTCTTCATGTGCACTTTTCCTGACACCCCTTATGGGATAGTGGAACTACAGAAAAATCTCTGGGCACACATATCTATCTTGGCGACATAGGTTTAGATGGTGCCTTGTAGTTTGGTATGAGTGCAAAGCACTAAATCAGTTGCTCTAAAGTGGCTTGAAAACAATGTTTTGTGGCAGTCTGGGGCTTTTCAGCACAGAAAAATATGATGCAGTGATGGGGCTTCCTCGCGGGGTCAAAAATAATTTGCCGAGTTTCAGAGAGTCAGTTTGGTCCATGGGAGGACACACAATGAAGCAGAGCTGCCAGCTCCATCACCTTTCTGTTCATGGGGAACACACTGTGACCCTTTCCACTTATCTTCCTGGCACTGTTGCCTCACGTGTTCATTCTTTCTGGGGACATGTCTTCAATGAGATATTCTTGACTCTTATAGTTGTTAGAGGTCCTCCCAATAACTGTCCTCCTGTGTCCTGACATAATATAGCATTTAGATTTACATCCTGCCATTTTTTTCCATTGAGTAAACTCATTTGGGGAAGGAGCCATATCTCTCCCATATTCAATCTCCACACCACTGAGTAAGTTGTATTCTGTAACTGTGATGACTGACTAAACATTGATACATTCTTCAACTGCCATTCTAATGTTGGCTACCTGCTTACATGTCTTAATTTGGCACAAAGTCATCAAAAATTTCCCTGTTTCATCCATCTTTACTCGTTGTCTTCAAGTAACTCTCAAACAGTGAGTTTGAGAGCTGAGGACAAGTTTCAGGCGATCACATTTAAAATAGTGCCACACATCACTGGTGTTCACCCAAAGTCATTTAATATGATTGGCACATCCTCACATCAATTTCAGGCATCTGCCATAGAGAGTGCGAAGGCTCCATATGATGTTCCCGATGGCCACAGTCATCCTAAAAGCAACTTCTTGTCACTTTTAGTGAAAAATGTGTAACCTTTCTTCCTCAGGATATCATGATTGACTCCATTTACTTTAGAGATAAGACACAAGATATTAAAATCATGCTCTACCTTCAAAATTGAAATGTCAAGTAGGAGTTTGAGGTTGTTATTCGACTTCAAACATCATATATATCAACATACATAGTTCTTGATAATCCAGTAACCAGGTCTATCTTCCTGACTTGATTACATCTCATTAAAGTTCTGGGCTACCAATTGTGGGATTAACCAAAAGGGCTTAAGGATGAAACTTTGAGTTTATGACATAGAGCAAAGTGAATGAAGGATTCTAACTGTTGTCTCTCCTGTTATCACCAGTGTGGACAATTGAAAATTGCTACAACCTAAAAAACATCAATATTTTGGAGTACTCAGGGATGACAGTGTTACATTTGTAAACAATAAGACAAGTGACATTTTTCAGTATACAGAATGTGTGCTCAACATTTCTGAGAAAACTTAAGTAACTTTCGTATATGCTTATTTTTCTTTGATATCTAAACTAGCATATTATAAAAGAGGCTTAAGGAAAATTATGAACGTAAATAAGGAAAAGACTAGATAAAATAAACAGTCTTTTTGTTTTGAAAATAAAACCCACAGTTCTAAAGGGAAAATTGACATATTTTCAGATACTAAACATTTGGTCTTGTAGGAAAAAAAATACTCTGAAGTAGGCACAGAGGAGTTTCACATGACACCAATAAGGTATTTACTGTACAAACTGCACCACTAGACAAATACAGCTACAGGAAATAATTTGAATAAATTACACAGCCATCAAAGCAATAGCACACATTCATTATGATTCACACTTTCACACTAGTTTATATACACTGAATAAGTCATTAAATATTGCACTTATTGGCCCATGAACCCTCAATTCTGAGGTGTTGAAAAATAGAAAACAAATCTATTTTTATAACATATCTCATGCAACATTTAAGACATTTCAGTTCCACAAACACCATTATATAGTTGTACATTTGGACAGTCCAACGGTATCACATCACGTCTGACATTAACAATATTAACAGGAATTACAGGAAATTTTCATTCAGTACACATCCTAGAGATGATGAAATAATGCATGGAAAACCTTATGGCTACAGCAGACAGCCCCCAGACTTCACTTCCACATGGGTTATGGAACCACTAGATAAGTGTCCATGCAAATGTCCCTGGGAGGCCAGGTCTGTGTGGTTAATGTCCCAACTGTGTTTTTCAGGAAAGTCTTCGTGAACCTGAGCAATCCCTAGCTCTCACCAGCATGAATGTGGAATATTTTCATTAGCAATAAAGCCATAACCAACTTGCAGTTGTCCACGAAGAAGGAAATATGAACACAGGTGAGTGAAATACACAGGTAACCCCCAACCTCCTTTTAGCAAGTAGTAACTGGTTGAAACGCCACTGATAATAGTGGTGATGGGAGATAAATGGGAAAACTTGAGTCTTGTTTCCTATTCCTGATACTGTCATTTTGTGAGAATAGTGCTTTTAGAAATGTAAATGATTTTAAAAAATCTGAAGTAGAAAAGAGAAATGCAAATGCAAAGTTCAATTCGCTACTAGTTCCATGATTTGATCTTCCTATTCAAGCACTGACAGATTTTAAGATAATTACTTTAGAGTGTCTGTAAGATATATTTTCTCTACCCTCTAATTTTAATGGGAATTAATTATATGCACAGACACACTAATCAAATCTATATGAAAAGCTTATTCTGTAGACCTTTTCAAACAAAATGTGAGTTACAGCTGGAATAGAGTAAAAGTTTCCTTCTCTCTCACATGGAGAAAGCACCATATGTGGAAATTTTTCTTCATTTAAAAGGGGTGTGTGTGTGTGTGTGTGTGTGTGTGTGTGTGTGTGTGTTGGGAGGGGCAATACTGAGTGGCCCCAGCAAACAGTCTTCAAATATTTGACTGGAGCGTCAAGCATTTCTCTAAAGTTTTTTAAGAATATCAAATCATTTATTCATGAAATATCAGTAACATTGGTAGATATATTTTAGATAACTTCCCCAGACTTGTTTTTGCTACCTCAAGGGATACTATAGCCAAACCTGGGGCCCTGTAGGTCACCGGAGGAGTAAATATGCTTTTTATCTGATCCTAAACTTTTATCTTCTGCCAATTTGTCCAAACTTATTCCAGAATTTAAACAGGTTTATGTCCGTAATTGGCTTTGGTCAAAAATTCACCTAAAATATAAGGAACTCTGAAAAGCTGATGCTAATCCCTAAATCGTACCATTCATCAGAAGGACACCACCATCTGGAAGCACCTAAGAGGGTGGTGCCCATAGCCAGGCAAGCTGAGCAGAGCGAGGCGGCTGTGTGCTCCCCAGGCCATAGGGGATGGCACCCCACCTAGCCTGCACACAAAGGGATAAGAGTTCAGCCACCAGTCACACAAATTGTAGTTTGAGAGGATTCTTCAGGCAGGCAGGCCACCATCCAAGTAGGCCACACCAAAAATACACAATGGAGCATTTCAATACTACTATGAAAATTAGTAAACACTCTTTGGTCTAAGAGTTTCTGACATGACTAATAAAAGACTTCTCAGTTCTCACATGCAGCTTCCCCCCTCAGCCCTGGCTGAGTCTGGACATGTGTCATTATAGCCCACCAATGCCACACAGTTAACCAGAAAAACGTACAGTCCATCCTCACCACACATTCAATATATGTTGACAAAACATGTTACAATGAACCACTGATCAGACGGCCAGACTCCCAAATTAAAATAGCTTCATGGAAATCTGTTACATGTGAAAGTCTATCCTCATATAGTAAAAATTGAACTTTAACTCTTAAAAAAAAAAAACCATTGGATAAAAGTAGGTGAAACGTGTGTGTGTGTGTGTGTGTACACACACACAGGTACACACACACATATAGTGTACAGAAATACCTTGATATGGGTTGTAGCTTTGTAGAATATCACATTTACCAGAGCAATGGTACAGCTTTCTGCTACAACTGAAGGGCTTATCTAAATAATCTTAGCACTTCTTCACCAGGCATTAAAGGGATACTGTCTTCAGGTGAACCTCAGGGGAGCTCTAAGAGTCAGTTCAGAACCTCTTGGTGCTTCGTCTTCATTTTATCCAGAAAGTAGAAACTGCTCATTGGGGGTAGTAGCTATGAACTGATTGATGACCTGTAGATGTGATGCTAACTTTTAAGCTGTCCTTTAGGGATTAAGAAATTTCACACATTTTGTACATTCATTCATATACCCCAAAACTGAAATACTGATTCACTCCAAATTATTTAGGTGAAATAATTTTTGATCCAATCTTTCAATTATATTAGGAATACCAATAGAAAACACTTGGGAAACATCTGCTAAGAAACAAGGTTTGCTTTCAAAGGGAATTGGAGGAATAGGATTAGTGAGGAAAGAAAGCCATACTTGAAACATTAATTGAATTGCATCCAAAATAAGATGGGCATCTAAAAGTCACAAATGAACACAAGCATGCACTTTTAAGGTGTCTCGCTCTTCTAGATTGATGTATCGATAGGCTATTATTAAGAAATGGCCTGTGGTTACCTAGTCTGCTGGCAGAGGGAGAAGGTGCAGGAGGGTGAGTGGGCAGGAGATAGCGCTGTGTTTCATAAGGAATGTGGTTGCCAATGGAAAGTCTCATGGTCACTTGGCCTGGCACCTCTGACAAATCTTATCAGGCTCTTTTGAGGTTGAGAACAGAGGATATTCTCCCCTCACACATGTTTTATAGCAGAGTCATAAGTATTTATTCACTTGGGCTCTGTGATAATCCTCTCTAGAAACTTCTCAGTGAACTTTACACTGTACTGGGAGCTTCAGAAGTGAGAATCAGGTAGTTCGGCTCTATTTCCGCTGAGGTTTGGGAAATAGAAACCAGAGGTATTGGCTGTAGCACAAATGATGATTCCTGGGGTTGCACGCCTTCCCCTGACTGCACAAAGTATTTCAGCTTTGGCACATCTGACATGAGTGAATGGGCACCTGGCCTAGGGTTTCTGGCCTTAGGGCCAGTTAAACTGACTGGCATCAGCTTTCAGTGGCGGTTTAGATGAGAGCAAAGTAAAATCAGCTCTTTCCCTTACACTTTTCTCCACTCATTTTGTTTTCCACTTTTATTTTCTTTAATACCTCTGTTTATTTTTTCACAGTATTTTTTTTTTTTTTTCTGTTTTCTGCCTCACAAGAATATATATCACGATTCTTCTGTAAGGGGGAAATCTGAAGCCTAGCTAGGCCCGATGTGAGTGTGTATGTGAATCAGGTGGGGACTGGCAGAGAGGAAAGAAATGTCTTCCTGACTTCTTTCTTCAGGTTAGAGCTAAAACGAGTTTAACAGTGATGCCGCTGAATATGGCCAATTCTCATCCAGGTTATAAAAATATTACAGTGTCATGCTGACAGGTTTCTGTTGCAGGAATAATCTGCTTTGATTTCTCACACCTGCTCCAATTTCTGATTTCATTATCTTTAGTTTCTGTGATTTTGAAACTGCTTGCCCCCTTAAGGTCTAAGAAAACATGGGTAGATTCTTGTCTCTACTAAGTGAAGGCTTGTCTTGTGGGGTACTGAAGTAGAAATGTATTAATGATTTGTTGATTTTAAGCTAAGTAGGTGAGAAATACCACAGATCGCTTAACAAGTGCATTCTTGTATAATTTTCATCATTCAACTGAGATGGAATTAAGTTCCCAAGTGTTTATCATCAGATTTGTGGATGTTTCCCCTCCACTCCCCTGCATCCAGTACTTTTACTGGAAGTATCTCTACTTATGAGGTACTTTTTAAAACATCAAAGCGTCTATTTTTAACATGACTGTCTAAAAAAGGGAACTCACCATCTAAGCGGTCCTTCCACATACCCTCGCTACACCAGCTTCCTTCTTAACACCTAAGCTGGAAAGCATGCTGGCAGGAGCCAGGATTCCTCCAACCTCAGAAAGCTGGTGGGCTTTCTTTGCTCATTGGTCACATATAATCTTCAGAGTAATTGGGGAGAAAGAATCTGGATATTCAATTGATTTCCTTTCCCCTTTCAAATTGCTTATGCCATCCTAGAGTATTTCTAGAGCTCTCAGCTCTAAAGCGTGATCTCTGAGGAAAGCATATTTAAAGGATTATCGAATGTAGGTATGCATTAGAATCATGAACACCTGGAATTGAGAAAGATTAGAGAAGTTTCTTTCCTTAACACAGGGGCCATTGAGAGATGGTTTAAATAATTCTAATTAGGTAACATCGCAGGAGCTGAGGTATGAGTAGAATGTGTTAGGTAAGTAGAGGGGATTCGACCAAGCTTCAAGACTCCAAGTGTAAGGGGTGGTCTATGTGACTGGGGGCTAGCTATTGAGCAAGTGTGGGGGGTGAGTAAGTGTAGGCTTTTGGAACCCCTCACATTTTTCTTGGTTAAAATGCTTGTTGCATAACACATTCAGCATCTACCTTTCATCTGTCAGAGCCTTCAAATATTCAAAAACCTATGTAGAATCAGTGAGAAGGGCAGTCTCAGGTTTGAGCATTCCTTGTACATCTAACCTTAGTTCCAGTCAGGTAAATATTAATCTGTCAGGAAATCTGCAAGGGCCTTAAATACAGTACTTCAATACCTTTCCTCCATGGACCTCTCAATTATTAATACATTGAAAAAGAGACTCATTTCTGGAAGAACAAACTGACCAGCCCACAATAGTCTCCCTGATGACAGTTATTTCCACTTGATTTTCAATTAACAGTAAAGCAAATAAGCCCTGAGATCTCCCCTGGCTCACACACAAGCCATTCCCTGGTAGTCCTGAGTGAGGAACATATTTTCAACTCCTGGTAACAAGTCAGTTGTGGTGAAATTATGGTCTGAGGTTCTGGCAGTAGCTTAATCTGAAAAGAAATGTGAAACAAAAGAGCCTAAAAGACAAATAACAAATCACATGCAAGTACCAGATGTTTAGATGGATAGATAGTCCTTACAAATTGAAGATCACACATTTGCCATATACTAGTATAGGAAATCTCCCAAGAACTGAATGCATGTATGAGCCATTGACATCATAGATTTCCCTCATTTTCAGGCAGGATTCGCGAAGGCGAACTGACCACTCCTAAATGCTGTTTGCTGGCCCCCAGCCTCCTGCGCCGCCTGTGTTGATGGGAACGTTAGCAGCCGCAGTTGGGTTGCGGTGGAGGAGGCGTTTCCTTGAGTCTCGTGTTCTGCTTCGCCGCAGTGATGGCCGGATCTGTCTCCAAACTCTCTGACATTTTGTCGCAGATGATATCCACAAGACGTTCAAATGTCTGCTTGACATTAATGTTGTCCTTGGCACTTGTCTCAAAAAATTCAAACCCTGGAAGAAACACAAATCCAGGTTGGTCATGTTATACTTCTTTTGAAATTAATTTAGGAGTTGATTATGACTTTGGATGGGGTAGTCGTGGGACAGGAGTGGATGGGGTGGGTTTGATTAGGTAGGAGATGAGAAAGGGGCAGAAGCTGACCATTGAACAAACACTGGTGCAGAATCCCTGCTGTCTGAAAACAGTGTTCCTAGTTGGTATATTCAGTAGGCTTTTTTTTTTTTTTTTTTTTACATCTGGGACTATTACTTTTTAATTTTTAGAAAAAACTTTGAGGGTGCCCAACCCAAAAATGACCCATCAAAATCATACCTAGTAGGAGTGTTCTACTTTTGGATAGAGGGGGAAATCTGTATCTTGCTATCCCAACAACCATGACCAAAAGACTTCCACAGATGACATGGCAATAGTTTTCATTTTTCTCTATTGATTGGCTGGTTCTAACAGCATGGCTGAATAGAAACAATTTCCATTGCAAGAGCTAGTAACAGTAACATTAAAACCCTCACTGAGGAGTCTCTCCCCCTACCCACTTTTCCCCTCTCATTCCCACCACAACCCTACTCTTTTCTAGGACTCCCGTGATTTGGTATTCCCCCCACTTCAGACCCTGACAATTTTTTTTTTTTCATTTGAGACTTAGAAGACTTCATATCTCCTGAAAAAGGGACATGACTGTCAGGCTAGAGCTCAAAGAAGGGTTTGAAAATGTCCATTTAGTCAATTTCCAACATCTAACCAGACACAAGGTGGCACTAAAGAATCATTACCTTAAGCACGGCTCTGGCCTTAGAAAACAGGAGGAGTGGTGTTAAGCCCAAGTCCTATGGGACTTCACACACCTCTGCATCTATGGGTGCTCACTTCTCCATACCCTGAAGCAATAGTGTTTTCATCAGCATCTGGTAAAGGATGTAATAAATTTCAAATGTGCTCCCAGAATTGCAAGAGTTGTCTAAATGCAGTGACAGCTGCCCACTGCTGATGTGTGCTATACCTAGGCAGATGCCTTAGTCTGCAGCTTTGCAGGCACAGGCACTGCCTGATCTCGCTATTGTTAGCTTGTATATTCCAGTGGCTGAGCTTGCTGGCTAGTTGCCATGACAACCTCCCCAGTAGGCCAGCCTGGGATTGCCCTGTCCATTCAGGAAATGTTGATTTAGGTTGTGTTTGGCTGAACACAAAAATGCTTTTCTAAGCCATTCTGAATTTTTACACCCTATAAATCGTTCTGGTTACATCTGCCCCTATCTCAGAGGAACCACTTGGATTCAGGATGATTAAATCATGTTTCATCCAGCTTCTGAGACCAGTTTTAGTATTTTGCATCTGTCAAAATTCCTAAAAGCATAGACATACTTTTTCTAAGTAATATATTGAAAGGTGGCAATTCTCATGTAACACAATTTCAAGGAGCTTGACTTCTGGTAAGTATTTTATTGTTAAAGTGCAAATGAATAATAACAGAATTTGAACTGAAGGGACAGCAGTAGAGTTAGGCTCTCTACAGTGCTTGTGTAGCACCTACATCTATCTGTATTTCTTGATCTACAGACCTGGCCATCTAATGGTAGCAAAATTCTCTTTCCTAATGTTTACAAAATATGTAGAGCTAAAGAATTCAACTTCTAACATTTTCCCCTCACATTTTGAAATTGGAAAGTATGGATCTAAGTACCGTTCTTACTGCTAAAATGTCAGAACACTTTGCATCCTTTTGGGGAGTTTTCTAGTGTTTGGGGTAAGGTGCCTTATGTCACAAAATACCGGTTTCTCTTAAGACCTTGGCTGAGACCTGGAGGAAAATAATTCCCAAACCTAAGAGGCAGTTAATTCTCTTGTTTCCTAATACTTCTTTTATTAATATAATTGTGAACTTGGGTTTTTTTTGTCTTTGAGAGAAAGGTCAGACGATAGATCTGTTGAATATCCTACTGGAGCTTTCTTTTTATTTATGCATGTAAGAACTGGGGTGTAGGCCAGAGGTATGGGGGAGTGGGTAAGAGGATTCACTCTAGACAGAGTGGGGAGGTGAACAGGTAGATCAGCTCCCTGGCCAGGGATTGAATCCAGGCCATACTGGCAGGCAACAGCTTGATCGTGCTGAGACAAACTCTGCACCAGGAAGGCCCTGAACTTGATGGATCTCAAGAGTTCAGCACTGTGAATATTTGCACAAGTCTTCATCCCATGTGATTCCTTCACCCCAGTCATTTATCACATGTAAGTGGAATTCCATACAATAAGCTTGCATATGCACTAAATTGGTTATTGCAAATGTGACAGTGATATATTATACCTACCACATGTGCAATGTCACTTATCGCTGATTTGTCGTGCAATAACACATTCACCATAGACCTGCTATGTTGAATATCTCATATGGATTAAATGGAAAATTGTATGAGAGCTGTGCCATATGCCAATTAATTCAGTCAATATGCAAAAAATGCCTTAACCAATTTTTGAAACCTTTCACATATGCAGTAACTTGCAGAGAGCATGTGCATTACATGTGGTACACCATTTATTGCTTATGTACTCAGGCGCTTATGTGCATTCACACTGTATATGGGATAACTGCTACATCACATGGGTGCTATGTAATATGTAGCTCACCAAGCAGAATTCCATGTAATGTTACTTTAGTTTTTGCCCTGTGGAAATTTATGATATAAGTTAAAGCAGCCCTATTCAACTGTGATGAGACATTTTGGAAAAATGTAAAGAAATACACCTGAACTAACAACTATAGATACTGACAAATCTGTTAATTGGCAGTGTAATTGTTTAAAAACGATACTTATTTTCATATAAAGTGTGTTTTCTATTAAATCTGCTTAATGTTCCTGTGGTTCCTTCTTCACATTTTGATAGGTTTTCAGTGATAAGGAAAATAATTTGCATTAATGTGCACTATCAATGAGCAGGGGTTTTTCTGAGAGGGATGCATGTTAAATAATCAGTATACTTATTTTACATAGCAGGTTCTACAACACTGAATTTCATTAGGCTATCTAAGAATGTGGCATCATGAACAAAACTTTGACCACATATTATATGCAGGTACTGTGCTGGGCATTTATTTCCCAGCATTTGGGACAGCCCCATGAAGTACCTTCCACTGCCTAGTTGAGTTACACATGTGGTAACTTAAGAACTGAAGCCTCACTAAAATCCACAGTTAACATCTACACATTCCAAATACTCATTTTATATCCTGCAGCACCCATTCCAACATTATATGATAACTAGCAATTTCATAACAACATTCTGGGGGTAGAGAGTACCAATTTTTAAAGTCAGGGAATTCAAGTAAATCTAGCTCCTTTCATGGTAACACAACCTAGTTGTCCTGTCAGAGCAGACATAAAAAGCATGTGAAGCTTCTTGAAAATGTTTTTCTTTCATATAGCAGTGGATCTGAGGTTGTAAGTAAGCTATCTCTTCTCTTCATAATTCTTGTATCTGGAAAAGAAACTAGTCTGTTAACTGAACCCACAAAGGGGAAGATGAGATTATAATGACTAACACTAATATCTCTATATATCTTTTTAAGAATGGTCATTTCTTAGTCAAATAATGCCAGTCTGCTAGGAATGTCAGTGACTTAAAGTTAAAGAGATATAACTTCAGCCAAGTAAAGTATCAAGAGACAAAGGTGGATTTTTACATATACCTCTGACATAGGACTTCCAGATATATAAAGTTAATATTAACGGACTTAAGGGGAAACACTGACAACAACCTTAACATCCCACTACAGCATTGGACTCATCAACCAGATAGAAAATCAACAAGGAAACAGTGACCTTAAATGACAAATTAGATGAGAGGAACTGAATAGATAATTACAAATCACTCTACCAGAATATACAATCATTTCAAGTATTCATAGAACATTCTCAATTATATAGTCTCAAATTTATGAAAATTAAAGCATTTTCTGGGAAGGGGGATCACAATAGCTTAAAACTAGAAATCAAAAAATCTGTAGTTCAAAATCAACATGCAGATTCAATGCAACCCCTATCAAAATCCTAAATATAAGTAGGACAAAATATTATGAAACTTATTAGAAACTCAGAAGAACTGTAAAAATTATCTTTAAAAAAGAGTGAAGCTACTAATGTCCTCCTCAGCTTCAATCTGTAGTACAAAGTGATAGTAATTAAATCAACATGGTATTGGAATAAAAACAGATACACAGATCAATGGTACAGAAATGAGAGATCATAAATAAAATCCAACATATATGATAAGTTTACAACAAAGGAGCCAAGAGCATACAATGGAGCAAAGAAAGTATCTAAGAAATAATGTTGGGGAAACTGGATAATCACAGGTAAAAGAATGAAACTACACAGTCTCATACCAATAATTAATGTACAAAAAATGAAAGACTTGAAGGTAATATCTGAAACCATAAAACATATGGGAGGAAACATAAGCAATACACTTCATGCCATGGTCTTAGTTATATCTGGGGACTGAACTCTAACATGAAGAATAAGAAGAACTATATAAAAAAATGGGGTTATATCAAACTAAAATGCCTCTGCACAATTAAAGAAACATGCTTGGAAACAGAGTCAGCCTACTGAAAGGCAAAATGTTGATATATGAACCACTTATTACAACTCAACAAGACAAACAACTTGACTTAAAGATAAGCCCAATGTGTGAACAGAGATTTTCCCAAAGAAGACATACAGAGAACTAATATAAACAGTTACATGAGAAGATGTTTGCCACTCTTATTAGAGAAATTCACATTAAAACAATGAAATAGAACCTAACATGTAAGAACTATCATCCCAAAGACAAACAACTAGTGCTGGAAATTATGTGGAAAAAAGGAACCACTGCATATTGTTGGTGGAAAAGCAAACTAATGTAACCATCACAGAAAGTAGGGATGCCTCTGGAAAATCAAACACATAAATTCAGTTATGTCACTTTTGGATATTTGTTCCCCCTCCCCACTCCA